TATTTATTTTTTTTCTATCATTTAGATGTAGGACATAAAGGCACCATGGATGCACAGGAGGAAGATATTCCAGAGAAGCGTAGCGGTCCACAAGTCAGATACGGAGTACTTTCACTACATTTATGGTTTACTTTGGAGATATAACATTAACAAGTCATATTTTTATTCTGTTTATTTAGGTTTCAAATTCAAGCCTCCCTTTGTTACTTCCTGAGAAAGTACAAAGGTTAAAGGTCAGTTTGAGCAGACCTTAGCTGATTATATTGGTGATGTAGATGTGATTGCCTGTCTTCAGTTTCTTTCCTTTTTCCTCAATCTTTTAAGCCACATTTCCTTCTGCATTATTATAACCAACTTTGACCTTCTGCATGAACTTGAAGACTATCTTTTTGTAGCTTTTGCTCCCAGCTATTCTGTTGTTACTCCAATATTTCGTGATAATGATGGTTTGTCTTAGTATCTCGATATCCCATCATTTCAAATGTAAATATATCATACTGAATGTTTTTGGACACTATTTGCTTTGTTTGTTTGTCAAGGCACTTGTAGAGTGTGATGGTGATTCCATAGATTTGAGTGGTGATGTGGGTGCGGTTGGACGAGTAGTGATTTCAGAAGAACCATCTGGAAGCAATGAAATGCTTTTGGATCTGAAAGGCATGAATAGGATTTTTTTCTAATGTTAAATTCCTTGATTTGTGTGTCCTATAAAACCATGAGCTAGGTCAGCTAGCATTATCTTTATTGAGGTGGCATAGTGAGACTAAGTTTGCTCATTACATATATGCCTTACGTATAGAAGCTTGATGGGCTGGTTGTCTGCCCTCTTGCACAGCATAGCCATGTTTTGTACTCCTGCATCATCTGATTTTAGTGATCTGGTTTAAAATTTCAGGAACTATTTACAAAACAACAATAGTGCCTTCCAGGACATTCTGTGTGGTATATGTTTTTTTCCCATTCAGATGGTGAACAGTTTTTAGCTTTATTATTTTTCCATATTAGTTAACATACTGATTTCCACTTTTGGTCTCTTGACCAGAATGACCGCAATTGGATTCTCACATTTAGTCCCCACTCAAATATTAATAACATATTCTGATACTCTTCTGTTGTTGTAGGTAAGCTTTGGTCAATCTGAAGCAAAGGTGTGTCTGTTAGCGATGCATTGTTGATTTATTTGCTCTAGCCACACCACTCTACCTTTAAAATGATATTGACAAATTATGGCCTTGTTTGGGTATAGCGTTTTTTATTAGCGTTAGCATTTTGTATAAAAATTTAATGGTGTAGATTAACTTTAAAAAGCTAATGCTAAAGGCTACCGTTAGATAGTCTTATCAAAACGTTAATCCTAATCTCTAGCGCTTATGCCGAATGGGGCCTACATTTTAAATTTCTTAGAATATGACTTTTGCTGCAATGGAATGACCCACATAACCTTTACCATGTTTCTGAAGTACTCCCTCTGTTTCATTTTATCAGATCTACTCTCCTTTTAAGTTGCTCCCAAAGTAATGTTCAGTTTCCTAATTAAATACCACTAACCTTTTCCTTTTCTCAACTCGTCGTTTCATCAATCTTTCAATCATTTACTTGGTACACCCCATTTTTATTTGCTTCATTCAAACAGGCATACCGCCTGTGGGACGGAGCACCTTTATTTTCTTCTAACATCACCTTTATTTTCTTAAAAATCATACCACATTGAAATGTGTCTTACCCTGTGGGACGGAGCAAGTACAGACTTTCATTTGCTCACTGTTCTGATCTTGAGCCTAATCATTCTGTATTTCTGCTCTCACTGATCATTCTTAATTTTAAAAATTGGGTGAAATCTCATACCATTAGACTTGGAAACGGCCTGTCCACTCCTTGCGAGTGGAAGCAAGGTCTAAGAAATCCTATTCTCCCCAGACCCACTTGTGGGATTTGATGAAGATTGTTGCCTTTGTGGATATACACTTTAAAATAATAATTCTTACTGATACTTATTAGTCCCTTTGACTTTTCTAGATTGAAGCCATCATGAATGATTTCATCCAATTGACGCCACAATCAAATGTTTATGAAGCTGAAACAATGGTCGAAGGTTTGGGGTTTTTGTCCCTCTATCTTTCTATTTTTTCCCGAGGTGTAAAATATATTTACCCTAATGAATAATAAATCCCATGTAGGAACTCTTGATGGATTTTCATTTGATTCGGAGGAGGACGACAGTTTTGCCAAAAAGGCAGGCGAAGACAAACAAAATGAAACCATTGATGATGAAACAACTGGAAAAACAAAACGAAAAGCTAGAAAATCATTTGTATGCAGTATTTTTTTAAAATTAAAAGAAATAATCAAGTTTTTTTTCGATTCAATTGTTGAGACTAATGTTTGTTGTTCAGGCGGCTGAACAGAAGAAGGGAAAAGCTGGAGGGAGCAAGCTGCCAAAGAAAGTGAAAAAGAAAGCACAAGGTACAAAGAAAAACAAGAAAAAGTGAAGGGGTTCTTTTGCTTTTCGTTTCTTTTTTTTTTCTTTTTTGGTTTTGAATTTTACGTTTATTCATACTTCATGTGTATATATACATAGATTCTTTTCTTGTATTCCTACGTTCCATTCTGTAACCTTTTTTCTCATGTGTTTCTGCAATACATCAATTTAACCACCATCTTTCTCCTTCCTCATCTGCTTTTAATTATATGGCCATTGATATGAATTCATTATAATGGATAGGAGTTATATATCCAATTATCCATTTCGTTTGATACATGGAAGCTTCCATTTCTTTTCTTCTTTTTTGTTTTTGTGTAAATTTGGTTTAACATACGAGCTCGGATCAAGAAGGCAGTACTTTACTCTCCATAGTATCAAACCCCAAATCAGGGAAGAGAGAAGGAAACAAATACTCCGTAAGAGAGATGGGACAAATTTTTGATAAAATCTCATTCTTCCAAAACAATAATGCAAGTATTTAAATAATGGAAGGTAAGAATAACCACCCACGACTTTTAGAGATGGGACAAATTTTTGACAATAATTAATATTATAGCAATAAAAATAATAAAATGTCATATTCTTCATAGTACATATTTAAAAAAATAGAATTTGAGACCTCATACGAAAATGGGTCCGGGCCAAGTGACCACCTTGCCAATGCCTTGAGCTGCCCTTGAAAAAAACTATACTCCCTCCGACCCAATTTAAACTGGTTGTTGTTAACAATGTTAAACTGAGATTATTTTCAATTCACTTTATTTGAAAATTGATATTGAATTAAAAAATATAAATTACATTAAAAGTTCTACAAAACAAAATGTGATAAGATAATATTATTTTATCAAATGAATAGCAAAAATTGATGAAGAATGTGGTTATAGTTTTAGTGTTTAGATTACTTCTTTTGTAAAATCAGATCAAACAAACTCTAAATTAAAGTATCGTTTGGATTGTGAGAAAGAGGAGGAAAACAAAATGCAAGAAAAGAAAAAACACCTAATCAAGTGTTTTTCTTCGTTTGTTTTCGAGAGGAAATGAAGAGGATGAGAAAACTAAGGTCATGTTCTCCCCAAATTATTTTTTACTTATTACTTATTCTTATTGAAATAAGATCAGATCAGACCAGATCAGTTCAGACCAGATCATATAAAAAATAGCCTTAAATATAACTACATTTAGATCAGGTTAGACAAGATCATATTAGACCAGATAAAATCAGAACTTATTTCAATCATATCAGAACCAACCTGATCAGGTGAAGAGAACATAGCCTAAATATTGAGTCCAATATAAAAAAAATATCACCAAATTAGGTATAAAAATAGGCTCTTGAGCTCCTTCTTCCACCACTAATTTCTTCTTATTTCATCATTTGTCTTTTTTTTTTCTCCATTTTCTTTTAATTTCTATCAATTCAAACAATAATGTTTTTCTCAATATTTTCTTTTTTTTTTGTAATTTTCTTACCTTTTATTTTCTCAATCCATCCAAACAACGGAACAAGGATAAATTTTGTGGGCATGTTGATCGTGACTAAAAATGTGAGGAGTGAGGTCCAGTAATTGCTTGTTTTCTTTGTCGCAGGCTTTCAAAGCTCCGACGGCATCGTTTTCTTATGGACATAACGACTTGCCCCTTCTGCAATCTGAGAGTGCTTTCTGTAGAACTAGAAAGGCAATCTTCCCTTTCTCCATGCTTTAGTCGTCGTTCGATTCTCTCAACTTATATCTATTCCTAATTCCTGTGTTCGCGTTCGATGTTGCTTTTGACCTAATGCGCAATTCATTTTCTGTTTTAACAAGTCACTGCTGATTTTTCAGACATGCGAACAGTCACTTCGAAGATGAAGAGACCAACCCTGCTCCTCCCCAGGTACTCCGCGAGTAAACATTCTCTTTTCCATCGTACCTGTTGATTTTGCGCTACCATTTTGACTGTAGTCTTTTTTTAAAAAATATGGAGTATATAAAAACACATAGTATTATTTAAGTAAAATATTCTTGAATTTGTCTGGATGTATACTTTCCATGATATCAAGTTTTTAACTTTTATTAATAAAGAAATCACTCTAAATCTAAATAGGAGTAAAACATAGAGAAATCATCCATGCATTTTACGTAATGTAAATGCATTTTAACTCTTATTTCGGGAATAAAAACATGAAACTCCTATTTTAGTATATTTTTTATGTTTTTCTTTTACTTTAGACTTTTTTACCTTATTAGTACGGAGTATCAAATTATATTATGTTAATGGTTGAGGTAGTGCATCATAAATGTACAACTCAAATTGTTGCAACTAAATCGGAACAAAGGGAGTATAAACGGGCAGCATATAAAATAATTGCCAGCAGCACTTTATAAAATTCCATTGGTTTAGTCATTGAGTTGAACTTTACTGCATTGTACTTCTTCTGTTTCATTAAAAAAGTGATTCTCCATTGAAATCAAATCTGGTCAAGGTAGTGCATCGGCTTATAAATTAATCATCAACAGCACATTATAAACTTCCATTGATTTAACCAGGTTGATAATGCAAGTGTCTGTAGAACTGGTGATTGTGATATCCCTGAGAGTAGCTCTTCAAGGTCTCGTATGGATGGTCGAGCTTTAGAGAGGAGAGATACGGGCGGGCAAATCAGGTGTTTAGTAGATCTACAGATTAAGGAATCTTTTTACAGTGTAGAAGGAGGGATGATTAACTTACTGAGAAGCCGTTTGGAACAAGAACCCAAGAATTGGGTCAGCCTGCTGTGTGGGTATGTAGATCATTTTGAGAGTATCCCATTTGAGGACGTTGGATGGGGATGTGGATGGCGTAATATTCAGATGATTAGTTCTCATTTGATCAAATACAGACAAGAAGCAAGGAAAACCCTCTTTGGTGGTTCGGAGTTTGTACCTGATATCCCTTCACTCCAAAAATGGCTTGAGATTGCCTGGGAACAAGGCTTTGATATAGCTGGGTCGAAAGACTTCAGTAACAAAATCTATGGGAAAAGAAATTGGATTGGAACAACAGAATGTGCTACCCTCTTCCGATCTTTTGGTCTTCGAGCCAAAATAGTCGATTTCTGTAGTAAGACAATTGCACCTAAGGTTTATGGACCTATGGACAAATACGTGTCCACGTGGAAAGAAAAGTCTTTTGACAATGTGTCCATTACCCATGATGCAAATGTTAAGGGTCAAGAAGCTCTCATTGAATGGGTGTGGAATTACTTTTCTAACCCCAAATGTACAAGACATGAAAATATACATGTTCTTGTTTGTCAAAAATCGTAAGTACATTTTAAATGTTGCCATGATCTCTTGGCAAACTTCCCTTACTACTTGCAAGTGTATGCTTGTATTCTTGGGTTTTGAATTTGCAGTTTCACACTCCACTAAGATCTCATGTAAGGTTTATTCTGCAGGCCATTGTATTTCCAACATCAAGGTCACTCGAGAATAATTGTTGGGATTCAAAAGAAATGCCAGAGAAATGGCTCAAAGGAATACAATCTTTTGATCTTAGACCCTGGCCATGTAAGTATGGTTTGGATACCTATTGAAGTGCATTTTTTATGAATCCAATATGTCGTTTGCTAAGTGAAAAAGTTATTTCCTCATTACTTGAAATTGTATCACTGACCCATAGTTTTCCTTAAATTACAATTAAAAATGGTGTTCAAAAATGGAGCATGCATGATTGAAATACAATTTTCACTTCTCAGTCTTTAATTTTTCCTAAAACGTCAATGTAGCTTTTTCTTGTAGATGCCTTTAAATTAAACCAAAATTTTTGTGATCATAACTTTTAGAGAACCAAGCATCTTGAAAAATCTCTTAGAGACAACAAGGGATGGCAAAGGCTAATAAAAAGAGGTGTCCACACACTGAAGAAGCCATTCTACCAGGTATAAAACGTAGTTTACAGTGTCCAAATGCCACTCCAAATCTAATCTAAATACTTGACCTACAATGTAATTCTCGGCCAGTTGTGTTTTATTGATCCTGGAGTTGCTTGTGGGGAAGAGGCCGAACAACTGAAGATTTTAAGGAGCATTCGTCATGAATTTTAGTTAAATTCCTGAAAATATTTGTGTTTTATTGATGTTGGAGTGCCCTGGATGGACAATGCTTATGGACTGCCACTGCACTTTTATAATTTCATGAAGTTTTCTTTCCATCTCTTACTTCTGTCGTGGCTTTTGTCACTTGATTTTTATTTTTGTATTTACATACTTAGCTAACCTATTAGGATTCCAGTTTCATTTTACAAAACAGTTCTTTTGAACCTGAAACCAAGGTCGTTTTATGACCCGGGCACCTAGGGTGCTCCGTTGATAAAATTGATGTTTTCTACCCCTCCTAAAATGCTGATTTGGCTAACTGAAATCAGCGTTTTAGGGCGTAGAGGGGATCCGGGGTGGCGTGTTGTGGGGGGGGGGGTTGGATTAGTAGAGGTAGGAACCATCAATATTACCATCGAGGTTTCAAGTTCAAAAGATCATTGCCGTTCATTTTAATTTTATTTCTCTCCCTACTGCATAAATTTTAATCAACTAGATTTATTAATTTTACTACTTGTAGGAGGATGTAGTTGTCGCATTTTTTTAAAAAGCAGTGGTTGTCGCCTTTGATTAGCAATTTCGGCCGTATTTTTTTGGATTGTAATTTCAGAGTTAAAAGAAAATGGGAGGAGTTGGAAGAAACACTAGAAGTTGGAACAAATACGAAGGAGTTGGAAAATATTGGATGAATTTAAGTATTAAAAAAGCATTTAATTTAACGACCATCCAAGTAAATATGTTAGATAATTTTAATTTTTGATAAAAAAAATCATCATAATTTGTGAAATTTAGATATATAATGTTATTTTATATTAATCATTTATAAATAATTGGAAGGAGTTGAAAAGAATTAGAAGAAATTGGAAAGATTTGGAAGTTAACTTTTCCAATCAAAATAATCAGGGTATATTTAATAAGTATTTGAGGTAAATGTGAAATATGAAATTATACTTCTTAGTGAAAGGTGGTGGATTTCACGCAATGAGGGGTGGCTGATGGGGGTGGGTGCATGTAGGGGTTGTAAATGAATTGAATGTTTTCAGTTCGATTTGTGATTCGTATTCGTTTGAGGTGATTCGTATTCGATTTTTTCAAATCCGAATACAAATATAAATCTGAATAAATATTCAAATCCTTATCGAATACGAATATGAATCAAGGGTATTCGACTCGTGAGTTTGAAAAATATATTCGGAATATAAATCTAATTATACAAATAATATAGATATCTGTGTGTGTGCATAGATCAAATGGTTATAAAATATTTTAAAATCTAAATGAATCAAATATTTTTAAACGAACCAGATATATTTAAACGAAACGAATTTTTAAACGAACCGAATATGAATCTTAAAAAATATTCCAACCAAATTTGAATTCGAATTCAAATTCGAATATCACTTCATCTTAACGAATACGAATATTTTTTATGAATATTCGATTCGATTCGATTACAACCCTAAGTGCATGTGCATGACGATGCGAGAGGGGGGTGGGCAGCAGGAGGTCGCGTGTGGACTGTGACGTGGGTAGCTAGTGGCCAGTGGGGGAGGGGAGATATCAAAAGATTCATTTGGGAGGGTTGATATCAAACTAAAATCATTTTTAGATTTTACCAAACATCCAAAAAAATAGAGTAAATTCTATAATTGGTCATTTATAACAGAGGAGTTTCCCTATTTAGTCCTCTATTATCAAATTTTACCCAGTGGTCCTTCTTTTATGGGTATCTTTCCACAAATAGTCCTTTTTTTGGTCTTCTATCATGTTGGATTTAATTTGAGGGCTAAAAATATAATTTCACAATGATAATATATCTTTTTTGTCATACACAATTCCAAAGGTTGTTCCGTTTGCGTCGTTTTTGAATTACAGTCGCTTTTTACTATAATCATAGTCTACAAATGTGGTTTTTCATCAGAATCCTAGCTCACAATCATAGTCATTATTTTTGTCTTATCCGCTTAACCAATATCAGAACACGTCACTAGACATAATGTTGATGTCAAATTATACTTTTAGCATTTAAGTTAACGCCAACACAGTAAAAGATCAAAAAAGGACCATTTGTGGAAAGGTACTCTTAACAAAAGGACTACGGGTGTAATATTTGATAAAAGAGGATTAAATATGGAAATCCCCCTGTAATAAAGGACCAATTATGAAATTACTCAAAAAAATAATTCTAACATCGAGAGATATAAGGATGGATATCTTTTCGTATGCGCTTATCAACCGCGCGTTGATCTCTAGCTCGATATGTGTACCTTTAAAAATAGAGCAAATTTCAGAATTGATCCTTTATTAGAGCAAATTTTATAATAAGGGATTTTCCTATTTACTCCTTTATTATCAAATATTATTATGGTTGTCCTTCTTTTATGGGTATCTTCCCATAAATAGTCATTTTTATTTTTTATCATGTTATTATTAATTTGACGGCTAAAAGTATAATTTCAAAATAGTCATATATCTTTTTGTCATACACAAATCCAAAGGTCGCTCCTGATGCTTTGTTTGTGAATTAAGTCGCTTTGTAGTAAATCATAGTATACAAATGTGGTCTTTCGACAAAATCCTAGCCCGCAATAACACTCAATATTTTTGTATTATCCGTCTAACCAACAACAGAATATGTCACTGGATATAAAAGTGATTATAATTACACTTTTAGTTTTTTAAATTAACACAAACATAACAGAAGATAAAAAAAGAACCATTTGTGGGAAGACACTCATCAAAGAAAAATTATAGGAATAATATTTGATATAAGAGGATTAAACAAGAAAATCTCTTATCATAAAGAACTATTTATAAAATTTACTCTAAAAATGAACGCTGATAATTTGGGTAACATTATCTATTATGGGAGTTACAAGACTCAAGGTACAAAAATCATGTAATTTAAGTTTAGAATTGACTTCTCAAAACTAAAACAATTGACTTCTCAAAACTAAAATAGGATAGATCGAGGAATATTTGCATGATTATAAGATAGAAAACTTTTTCTTATACGTAACAGTGGGTCTGTACGCTGATAATTTGGGTAACTTTTTCATATACCTTTTAAATTTGAAACTTATTAGTTTTATAGCTAAGTTCGTAAGAGTCGGTCTGTAACACCCTGAAAACTGGCGTAGCAATTAGTTGTTATTTTAAGAATAATAAATATAATACTTATTTTATTTTCTAACCTAAAAATATAAACTATTTATAAAGTCACTCTACTTATATACTCAAAGTTAGGTCGTTGGATAGATCTCGTGAAAAATGACCAATTGTATATAGTGTGTTGGATATTTTTTAAAGATTTGGTCTCATCTTATCTGATAATAGTTATATATAAATTTGTCTCTGATGGGATCTAGGCTGGCTTGATTTGATCTGATTTAATCAAATTTGATTTAATTTGATTTAGTTTGATCAGATTTCAATAATAATATCCATCCACGGGAGAAGTGATTGATAATTTGTTACTTGACTCCTCTAATTATGTTGAAGTGAAACATTGCTGAAGCGAAACAATAAACTCACGCACGTTTGGTACACAGAATTTATGCCTTGAAATTGGAATTAAAGATTTTAATTATAATTCTACTCATCAGTAACACAATAACATATCGAATTGAAATATAATTCTAATTCCAAATTTTGAATCCCATATCTCAAGAAAAGTATTGGGAATTCAAAATTTTTATCATGCCGTTCAAAATTTTTATGTAATACGGAGTACTCCGTAACAAAGAGACGAGTCCTATAAATTAAAAGCAGAAACTTTAAAAACTAAAATCCATAAATTAAAATTGAAAACTACGATGAAACTTAAAATAAAAATAAAAAAATCAAATATCAATAATTAAAATTTAGAAATTAAAAATTATACAGAAAAACCTAAAAATTAAAAATTAAAATATAAAAATTAAAAGTGAAAAAAGTAAATATATAAATCTAAAAATTAAAAAATATAACGTTTAAATTTAATTTAAATTTTAAAAATTAAAATCAAAAATTTTTATTTTTAAAATTAAAAATTCAAAAATAAAAGTAAAACTTTAAAATCAACATTTAAACTAAAACCAATATTATTAAAACTGAATAAAACATTAAAATTTAAAACCTATAAATTAAAATTTTAAAAATAAAAACTAAAAATTAGAAATTTAAAAATATGTATTTAAATTTTAAAAATAGGAAAACTAAAAACTAAAAAAAATTGAAACTAAATACTTTGAAACGAAAATTTAAAATTTAAAATTAAAAACTAAAAAATCTTAATATAAACAATTCTATGTTAAAAAATTTAAATTTAAAATTTATAACTTACAACTTAAAATTTGTAAATATGTAAGATTTAAGAATAAAAAAATAAACGTCAAATATTAAAAATTAAAATTTCAAATTCAATATTTAAAATTTAAAATTTAGATTAAATTTTAAAAAAACTTAAATTCAAGAATTGAAATTTAAGATTTAAAATTTAATACTTACTACTCAATAATAAAATATTAAACATCAAAATTAGGTTAAGAAACAGCAAAAGTTAAAAGTTAAAATTTTTAAAAAATTAAATTATTTAGATTTAACAAATTTATATCTGATATTTTTTCCAAATTTGAAGAAATGATACATGTGCATCATATTGAAAGATGAGATTATTTTTGAAAAACTTGATAAATTTGTGATAGTTATTGATAATTTTTCCTAAACTTAATTAAAAGTTTAAATTTTAAAATTTGAAATTTAAATTTAAGGTTACAATTTTAAATTTAAATTTAAAAGTATAAAATATAAAATTTAAAGTTTTACAAGTATATTATAAATATTGATTTTTTAGTTTTAAATTTTAAATTTTAAATATTAAATATTAAACTTTTGATTATAAATTTTAAACTTTGATTTTAAAAATTGAAATTTCGAAAATTGAAATTTTATATTCTAAACTTTATGTTATATTTTTATTTTTTATTTTTAAAATTTAAGTTTAAATTTAAGTTTTATTTGAATTTTAATCTCTTCGCCCAAATTAAATTGTTTGTTTACTATTTACATGGTCAAACTTCATTTTCCTCCTTTCCATATATTCG